AGGCGCCGCGGTGCCCATTGCAAAGGGCGGCAGGGGCTGACGGTGGAAATCGAAGTGCGGCGCTGGGATGCCTGGGGATCTACAGCGCCCGGGATTCGCATCGCGGGGCCCGACCCACCTTGGAAAACGAGTCCCTTGCTGCGGCCTCCTTGCTCGGATTCCTTCCCGAGAGGGAGCCCCGTAACACCGCATGGGGATGTTTTCTTTGAACATATTAAATAAATGACCGATGGCGCCCAAAGCCAGAAATCGAAGTGCGGCGCTGGGATGCCTGGGGATCTACAGCGCCCGGGATTCGCATCGCGGGGCCCGACCCACCTTGGAAAACGAGTCCCTTGCTGCGGCCTCCTTGCTCGGATTCCTTCCCGAGAGGGAGCCCCGTAACACCGCATGGGGATGTTTTCTTTGAACATATTAAATAAATGACCGATGGCGCCCAAAGCCAGATGGGAAATACTGTAGTTTGGTTCCTAGAGAGCAGCATGACATACTGTATGGAGGAGGGGGGACATCTCTCTGCACCAGCCCAAATCCGACTAGGGAGATGCTTATTTCTATGTGCCAGCCTTAGGCTTTCGCTGTGAGAGTGACCACGCTTTTAATCAGAAAGCACGGGTGCAGATTGGATTTACTGGACAGAAGAGACGAGTTAGCGGATCGCCAACTGTACCAAAGTCAAAATACAGCAATCTTCAAGAAACTTTTTAACAGGCGTCTAAACGTCTGCTCTTTCAGAGCTCTTGAGAGTAATGTATAATTAAAGTGCCTTTCATGGACGTTTCTCCCCCTTTGCGCACGGAGAAGAAAGAAAGGGGGAAAGTACAATACCATACTGTAATCTTAGCTCCTCGGACAGTGGAAAAACTGGCTGTGACGAGCTAAATGTAGGCATGTACTTAAGACTAGGTTTATGCTGCTAACTGGAAGGCTGCACTTTGACTCGTTGCGTTCACAAGTTAGAATCACACCGATAATCACAGGGATGGCCTTATATCACCCTGGAGTCACAACTCCCTTGTAGTGTGCTTACATACAAGTCTAGTTGTTTTCAATGTTAGAGGCACAGGCCTTACAACTATATCCTATAGAAAAGTACCCTAAAATAAATGTAGCCCATGTTTTTCAATCCACCATCTATTTCATGTTACAATATCAAGAGTCACCTCTGCTTGGATCATTCCACTCATGCCATAAAAAAATTCATGACCAAGAGCTATATTACCCATGCATATACTAGTTTCTGGGTAGCCACTCATGGGCAATATTCTGTTTTTCTTTCTGGAGGTGAAGAGTACAGTGTATGGTTGTTTGCTGCATGCAAAAACTTTTCAATTAGAAATGCCTCACAGATCTTCATTGGGCAAAACCCATCAAACAGTGTATTTAAGTTTAATGATTTAGTCACTCCCTTTAATTGCTTGTGTGAATGTGATATGTGGACTGTTTGTAAAGGTCAGGTTTCAAATGGATACTCTTTATCTCGTTTAAACCAAAAAATCCAACTAGAGCAGTCAATAAAAAATGTTGAAAAGGCCAGTATTTAAAATTCAAATATTTGAACTCTAACAGGTGGGGGCATCTAAAAAGCAATATGCATCTGCTAGAGAGGCTAATAATTACAAATAGATGTTCCCAGGAGATAAAGTTATTATTTAACCACAGAATTAAAGTATTATGATAATTTAACTATTTTTAGAAAAATAATCCTCTAAAGAGGGGAAAAGGCAGGTAATTGCTTATAATGCATTGTTTCTCAGGTAACAACTGCTGAAGCTGTAGGTTTTACTTATTTTTCAGCTCGGTTCTAACCTTGTACAAGCATGACAGACCATTTTACTTGGTTTTTGATAGTGTTTCCATCTTTTTTCCTTTTTGCCCTGATTGGGTTTGGATGGAGAAGTTTGCTTTATTTTGTTTTAACTATAAGAATTTACCAAATTTTCCATAAGGAACATACCACTTCTCCATTCATTCTGATTAATTTATACTTCTGTCAGATGGCTAGAGCTTTATGTTGATGGCTGCACAGGGACAGACAATACTGGGTTAATGCCCTGTGCAGGAAATTTATGAAATGAAACCAGGAAAAGTGTAGGTAGGGATTGATATTGTGAGGGTGTTTGAGCAACTGCAAGGAGTTTATTTCCAGCCTGATAACCAGACAGTAGCAATACAATCTTATCAGCTGATTAAATTCTATTCCAGTCCAATAAAATAACAATTGTGGTTCAAAGTAGGGATGTTAGAATTTAAATGTTTAACCGTTTAACCAATAAACTCAGCTGCCAAGACCTAACTGGCAGCAGAAAGCACGCAGCAGTGGGGCCAGCAGCTGGAACTCCATAACAGTGGGGCTGGCTGCAGTGGCAAGCTGGCTGCCAGGATCCCAGGATGGTGGCCGGCTGCAGGATCTTGGGTGGGGGGGAAGCCACA